CAAGCGTACCGTACCGAAACGTATCAAAAACGTTTTTAAATTTCAAAATTTCGTGAACGTTGATTGGTTATTACTTCCGTAGTACGCCAAAAAGTTGACTTGCGACGAACTTTTTATTTTGATACGCGAATACACCCAGAAGTACGTGGTTTTATAAACCTCTTTTCAATCTGCGCATGCTCACCAGTAGGTTTCGGTACGATACGGTTCAAGTGGAAAACCGGCTTTACACGAGGCCGGGACGAATTGCTCAAATTGCTCAGACCGGTCTGAAGTCATCCCTCTCGCTGGACCGAACCAACTATCTTCAGACCGGGATGAATTCGGAGTAGGGTGAATGTAAAGACAAATTCATTTCAGACCGGTCTCGGCTGTTCTCTTGGCTTCGGCATAATGCATGCTCACAAAAGCACTGTAAAAAAAGAAAATGGCGGGCAAGGGGAATAAATTAAACTGAGATTTGTGATTTTCGTACCGGTCTCATGTGAACAAACTGAAAATTTTACAAAAAATCACTACCCGGTTTATAATGCTATCCCGCACGACGGGTCCATATTTCAACAATGACGTTGCGGGAGACTGGGTACTAACCCTCTGGTACACATTTATATCCATCTCCGGTATAGCCTTTGTTACATTCACATTCATATGAACCCACGATGTTGGAGCATGATGCGGCCTTATCACAAGTATGTATACCAAGTTGGCACTCGTCGGCGTCTACAAGACAAATACAAATAAACCTAATCAGCAGTAACCACGAAAAAATCACAAATTAGCACGACTCGTGGCAATGTTACTATTAGTAACCACTATTAATCGATTAAGCTGCAATGTGTACGATTTAACTTGTCTAGAGGTTTTTCGTAGCCACTATATATAGTAATGATAGGGCAAAAAAATGTGGGTTTCCGGTTTCCCGACCCTACCTAGCTTTTGGACGCCGAAATCCCGACCCTAAACTTTTTTATTGGATCGTGCTTGTAAGAGGATGATGCTTGTGAAAAATGGAAATTTGAGGCAATATTAGAGAAAGTTATCTTTGAATGTGGAAGCACTGACTAAACAAAATGGCGTCCGGTTGTTAGGAAATTAAAAAAAAAGTTAAAAAAAAGGTTAAAACCGATCTACCCCACCTAAGTTTTTACAAGAAGAAATAGGAACCCACATATTTTTTTGGCCTAGGTAGCCATTAGTAAGTTACCCCACTTGAAAACACTATAGTTAAAATTTTCCTGCTTGACCAAGAAGGTTGTTACAACCATATTCGTTGAACCTGGGGGCAAGCAATGCGAACACAACTTCTTGACGACTTGTTGGCAGACTTGCTATATGTGTTTTGCGTGTGTAGTCCTGTATAAAAGCCCTAACCTGCACAAGCGGAGCCATCGTGCAGAAAACCACTTCTACATTGACATTTCTCTTCAACACACTCTTCAACTGGGCCACATTGTCGACCATCTGCAGTACACACATCACCTGAACCAACTACTGTTCGGAAAAATTTAAAACACTGATATAGTAGTGGTACAATTAATTTTCGGATTTCATGGGTAAAGGACGGCTTTTATATTGTTTATATTGGTTTTTGTAATAGTTGGAGAACTCATTTACATACGATGCGTTGACAACCATTTTATTTCCTTGTTGTTTTAGTGTAAAATATCATTGAAACCCAAGAATATTTTCTATGTAACACTACTTTTTTCATAACAAATGGCTTTTAAACCGAACCTAAGGCTGGTTTACACCATCAAAGTTTCTGCGATCCAGGGCCTATTCTAAGGAAATTTCAATACTACACACTTCAGAGCAGGTGTCATCAATGACGTCACAGGATCTTTGAATTGTTATGTTTTATATAGAACATAATGACAACATACAGGGTGTCCCAAAAAAGTAAACCCTTTCAAATTCAAATCAGCCATAACCTATTGTAGTAATTCGCTGATGCGACACAAATGACAACTTCGTTCCCAGGCTCTTCCCTCCTGTGGAGGAAAGAAGTACACCAGCTTTTCTGGACATGAAAATATTGAATATTGCAATTTATTGCTGGAACTTGGCATATATTTCGCCAATCTTTGTTTGTGTCTTTGCTCATTTTGTTGCAAAGACATTTTGGAATTCTCGACTTTATATTTCATCTACTTCGCTCCTTCAGCACACCTAATACAAAGTTGAAATTTATTTCAAACTTCAAATTTAAATACTGCACACTTTTCATTCAATACTGCACACTTTTCATTCAATACTGCACACTAAAATAGGCCCTGCTACGATTACAATAGGAATGAGTAAATTCTAAGCTTTGAAGGGTTTGTAAGGAATGTTCGATCGAACTGATTCAGTGTTAAAACTCAACTTACTTATTCCCAGACATGTTTTCCCATCCCCAATATAACCAACTTTACAGGCACATTTGTACGATCCTGGTATGTTGTGACACAATGCGTTTACTGAACAATCGTCTATATCAAGTTTACATTCATCCGCATCTAGAGAAAACAATTATATTGCATGGGTGTTGAGGAATTAGGTACTTGTAATTCTCCGATCCGAGTTCGCGCTATTGATTTGTCATCTTCATATTTGGCAGAAATGGACCTCAGAATTGAAATTTTCATACTCAAAATAGTTCTACACCGAACATTTCATGATGAAAAAAATTCACTACAGTGGAAATTCCATACATATGGTGAAAACAAAATTTTCAAAACGTCGTAACTCGCGCTCTGAATGTCCAAACATCGTGAAATTTTCGGTGTAGACTAATTTGAGCACGAATTTTTGGCAAAGATCACTAAGATAGTGCGTAAGCCTGCATTTGGTGAACAGTCATGGATATGTAGTATAGACATTCATCAACGTCTACGACAAACAAGAAAGTATATGCAGAAACTGCTAATTTATACTAGAGATGGATAAGTACGAAATCCATCAACAAATAAATCAAACCACGGATGACAATCCGACTATACGTTCGCCTTCTAATAGACCTTTCCCCTTATGAGCGAAATTTTGATCTAGATATGCCTGGACAAAAATTTCATCACAGCTTGAAAGAGCATCACAAAATTAGTAATATTCCGAAGTTTCGTTGCGAAATGTTGTAAAATGCGGATAATATAGCCTTGTGAAGTTTGCCGTTTTTCAGTCATTTTGCATAACATTACAAACAGGAAATTGATAATCAGATGATCAAACTGATTATCAATTTCCTGTTTGTAATGCAAAATGACTGAAAAACGGCAAACTTCACAAGGCTATATTATCCGCAACAAAACTTTGGAATATTACTAATTTTGTGATCATGCTCTTTCAAGCTGTGATGAAATTTTTGTCCAGACTTGTCTATAGATCAAAATTTCACTCAAAAGGGGAAAGGTCTATTCCCTACAGAATCCTACATTTTACAGACAACAAAATATGGCACCCATCTTAAATAGGTACCATTCCCAATTGAGGGAATTAGCTTATGACCGATGTAGTTTTCATGCCGATGTTGATAGCGAGCAGTGGTTTAGGAAAAAAGCCATCATAACTAATTTGTTGTGACAAGTTAAAAAATGAAAACACTGTCTGTGTGTTATCTATTGGCAACAGTCGTAGAATTTTTATTTCGGTCCCAACTGCTTTATACTCTTAAAATTCTCACAGAGTCATGAAAACGACAAAGATCACAGATGAACCACGGTAATTAAAATCATCAGCCTGCAATGCTTGCATGCTGACAATTTCAGAATAGAAATCGGCAATTGTCGGCAAGTGTTGTGAAGCAATAAAAACCAGCCTTTATTCCATCACTTTTAGATTGAATCTAGATTGCTCAAAATCATTTACCAAGCAAAATATAAAATAAAATATTAACTTGTCCAAACAATAACTGAGCCAGGTGATTACTTGGCACGGAAAATGACTGCCACTCAACTTCCTGTCATTGTGTGTATAACGGATGCAGTCCACCCACCCACTCACCCAAAAAATTTCACAAGCACTGATTTAATATTTCCATTGACCACTACCCATAAATTTATCTACATTATTTGCTACATAAATCAAGGATATGGAATACACAAAGTCGTTATTAGGTTATGATAATTACAATAAACTAGATCAAAAGATCCATGTATAGTTTTGTGCATAACGGAAGCACTCAGACTTCCCAAAAGCCACCCAGAAGTAAATGTATATTAAATTTTGTACAATTATGTTGCAATTTGTACGCACAGAACGCACTAGTTTTGTGAAATACATTTGTTCCGATTCAGTCCGACTACAATATAAAATGGAGAAAAACAGTCCCAACATTACCCTAGAATTTGATCACTGCCACAATGTAATTTCACAAACTCAGATTACACCAAATCAAAAGATCACAAACCTTATGATAGCACTCGAAGCCGCCAAGCTCTCGTCATCGCCTTGGGCCCCAACATCGTCGTCGTCTGAAAAAAAAGCAACGTATCCCTTGTCTTTTTCCTTCTTCCCATCTCTTCGCTCGACATTTTCGTCCACATCTTGTCCCGTTCCGCTAAACATCGTCTTCTCTAGCAGTTATTTCCGTTCAAAACAATTTCAACAACTCCTTTGCAATAATTTTCCGCCATCTTGATCACAGTTTCCTGTTTCAGAACTTCCACTTTGAGATTCGTATATTTGAAAATTTCAAGGATTGTTTTCGGAATTTCTTGAAATTCCTTAGGAATTTCTAGGGAAATTCCTTAGGAATTTCTAGGAATTTTTTATGAATTTCCCACACTGTTTCCGATCTGCTCAAATTTTTAACTCATTTTTACCGAATACATGTGCATTTTAAACGTTTCTGACTGCTAACCTAATGTGAATTATGTAAAACAAACTTCATCAGATAATTTTATGGTTTTTATGAACTGATAATTTGATTAATGATACGATCCCTTAGAAAAACTGGAAATAGCTGGAGAAAATGGTATGAAAATTGTTTACAACCTTTATCCTTCATAGATTTTGGACGTCAAATAATTTGCACCAAAAATGAAGTTTTTACTCCAGTTGAACTCCAGTTGTATATAGAGCTCAGTGTCTAGTGATTTTTGTAACCATGACAACATGTCATGATAATAAACAAAGTTTCCTCGTTTCATAAACTGTCGTCTATAAATCAAACCTTTTTCAAGTTTTTGTCAAATTTAGTGCAAGAAAATGGTTGTAGATGGTAAAAATGATCTTAATCGTGTCGGATGGTTTAGCGAAATGGGCTACATCTCCATTGGAGACCCGTATAAGCCAAAAAAGAATGGTATTATTTTACGTTTTAATATTTTGGACTGTCTTTAATATAATTTAGTAATTATAGAGCTTTACCGTTTGTTATAGTACGACTACAGACAATCATTTAAGTTAATATAGTAATAGACTTAAATAATTAAGGATATTGCTCGGTTTTGGTTATATTTAAGTCAACAATTTAAACACAAAAAGACATAGAAATTATAGACTTTTACAGTACTGTATGTAGTTGCTTTGTTTACATTTTGTCGGACAGGCTGATTGTGTTATCACAGTAAAGAACATGATCTATTACCTGCTGGCAATGTTATCCTATGGGATAAGGTTTAATCATTGTATTAATCTTTTATTATTGCTGAACTAATTTTGTTGGCATTTATATATACCGTAATAGAAAGCTCGATCAGTTTGATCTAAACTGTTCTCACTGTCTGATGTTAATATGCACTCTCTGTTGCCACAAGGCCGGATTTTGGTGGAAATAGTTGGGGAGGTGGAAAAAAATTTAGGGGAGGTGCAGCAGTTTAGGCCATGACCCCCACGGAAAGTTGGGACTTAAAACGGACCAAAGTCAACAGCGTATGCATGTAGTGTACATATGTTTCAATTAATGTACTAATGAATATATTAAAAGGATACTTGGCACATATATGAATGTACCAAATAGCCTCCAATTTACGGGGATTAAACTTTAAACTGACTTTAATGTAATTGATGTATGTTTAATTAAGCATTTAACGAGGCTTCCCACAAAGGAAAACAGATGCTTCCAGGAGGCAGCAAGACGAGATCAGCCCGACAAGATGGATACTTTGAAAAACAGTTCACTCGAATCATGGAAGCCGAGTCCTACAGCGATCCAGTGAAGCGACGAAGACAGGACAGACTGAAACAGTCCTCGCTTAATCTTGGACATGCTTTTGTTCCGAGCAGCGGGGAAAAATTAGCGTATGTGCATCCACATTTCAAATATTTTGCGCTGGGAGGGTGCTGAAAATTCATGAGCAGAGGGGGCATGTAGCGCTTTCATGGAAGCTGTGGCAGGGGTTTACATGGAGTCACAGTTGCAAGTGGGGGTTGGGTTCAGGACGAGGTGAAGACCCCAGGAATTTTGAGATTTTTGGTCTTATTTAGTTCAAAATCCTTCTTCAATTGAACTACTGTCATTTAATCCAATGAGCATTTAAATTTCAGTGGTGTTTATGCAAATTTCTCTAGGGATGGGTTGGGATAACATTTCTCTGGATCGAGGGGGTGCAAAATATGTTGGGCTGTGTCTACCCCCTCCACCCCCATATAAACCGTCTATGCTTCTAATCGATTTGGTTTGAGTCCAACACTTCTTCCACTTTTGTCTTACGATCCTGCCCCTATCAATTTCAGGTCTGGTGCGGGGAGTCATTATGGAACGTTCGCAGGTCCAGTTGGAGCATTTAGTCCAGTCGACAAAGCGAAGAAAGGTTACAAATCCTCGGGAAGAAATTTCACCACTAACCCAGCAAAGAAAGGCACTGGCTATGGTTACCTGGGCGTCACCATTGGTCCGACACCAAAATACACGCCAGATCCTTACGAGAGAGCGAAAGAAATAAGAAACGTAAGCATGTTATAGGACAATTAATAACGCTTCCGGAAAGTGCTCGCAGGGTTCGCGTACAAAACTTGAAAGTCCTTGAATGTCCTTGGAATTTGAAAACAAAAATTCAAAGCTTTGAATATCCTTGAATTTGTAAAGAAGTTCTTGAAAGTCTTTAAATTCTTCTTGCTTTAGTTTATGGATATTTTCTGAAATTGTTTGTTATTCAAAACGGACATTTTGTTGAACTGATTTTGCATGTTCATATCTGACAAAGCTGTTTGAAATTCATTAAAGCTGGTTCCCTTTTTGAACAATTCAACGTCACATTTTACTGATTTCTAACGCTTTCTCTTCAGTATTTAGTCCTTGAATTTGCTAATACATGACCTTGAATGTCCTTAAAAAGACCTTGAATTTGAATATTTCTGACATGTACGAACTCTAGCTGTGCTCGGTCTTGGCTATAGTAGTAGAGATAGACTTTTATCTTGTCGCAGGTGACACATTTATGAAACCGTACACTCAGTTATATCAGTGAATATAAAAGACCTGAAAAATGTTGTTCACTCCTATACAAGCGCCATTTTTAACCACGTTTTGAGAAGTTAACGATACCCTAGGCCTAGAGCATAGTTAACTTTAACTCACTCGGTTTTAACTGAAGTCATTAACGCTTATTACATTTTATACAACCGTTACTACTCTGATTAACGCTTACTACATTTTACATAACTACATTTTATACAACCGACTTAACTGCCGCATGTGTGGTTAAAGTTAACCACTAAATAAATTTAACTATAAAAATTATCAGTGAGGGTTGATCAAAAAGCTGCGATAATGAGCAGCGCGACAATATTCAATAACTAGTTCTTTTTTAAATTAATAGTCAACCTTTATGCCTTTTGCATTTAGAAAGACCAAGACATGAGTATCAAGGTACGAAAGGGCGGCGCATTCCGTTTGAATCTTCATCCCAAAACTTACTTCGATGGAAATCCATACAAGTCTGATAAACGTACGTAGATATTGAAGAAGCGATTCTTCTAAGAAGCGAAGCTAATTGCAAGAAACAATTTTCACTGAGAGTAAACTACTTTGTACTAATTAGTTTCTTAAATTTTTCCGTACAGCTCTGCCACCGCTGAAAGATGCGAAAGCAAGACCACAAATCGGGAAACCTTTCAAGCAAAGTTCACCAGGGAAAGAGGTATGGAACAGGAACATTTTATATTCATGACTGTTATGGTTTGTAGCAAATTAGTTCATGTTCGCTTTCATCAGTTTACCTTTGTGGTCAGAATTCGAATCTAACATGGATCGCGACTTGACTGTTGCAAAGCAAGGCGTTTCCTTCATTGACCTTTTTGAAAAAGAGTTTAGAACCACTATAGAGTTCACTGTTTTGATATAGAGCTATCCAATGTAAATAAAGTTAGTTTTAGTAACACTGGAGCAATAAATACTTGCAATTTTCGCTGCGATTTCAGGTGCGTTTTTCTCAGTTGTGATCGGAGTGGACGAGTTCTGATAATTTTTTGGAGTATGCGTATAGGAATGCGCTCATAGTACTCGTTCACATAAAGACATTAGGTTTTATAAATATGACATACTGTAGACGAAAATGAGGCTCTATGTGAAACTGAAAGTATGTAAATATTCTTTATTTCTGTGTTAAGATCGGTGGTTGCAAGGCAGGATGTTTCGAGTCGTATCCATCACACTCGGACGATCCTTACCAACCAAAGAAAACCTCAGCTGATGGTTCTCAAGCCAAGAAGATTTTCAGACCATCCCAAGGACCCAAGTCTACGCCGTTCGTCTCAGTTATCAAAGAGAATGTTGACAGGTAAGATAAGAGGGAATTAAAGTAAATATTCATTAATTGAAACATTTAACATTCATCATTAAAGCTTGACGAAGTTCAGATCAAATCCTAGGACTACGTGAAGCTTTGAATCCTTTGATAAAATCCTATATATATATATATATATATATATATGGCTGGATAAAATAGGAATAAATCAAATGAACCCTTTCCTATATAGTTGTGAGAATTTCTTCAATGTTTCTTTTTGTTCGTTTTAGGAGAATAAATGTTACTAATTTCCGTCAAGCGGGCTTGATAAAGACGTAACAGAGAAACTGAAATAGCAGACTACTTCTTGAATGAAAAATTTTGGGAATTACTTTTACTTACACAGTGAGGTTTTGTAAATCATTATTCTTTAATAAAGAGTTCGTATAAAGTTGTTGGTTATTATACTGCAATATTATACCTCAAATTCAAAGTGTCCAATCAGAAAGCTAAGTTTGTGCCACGTGAACATCAAATTTATCATCCTGATCACGCCTACGTCTCCCTTCCCAGGCTTGCCCGATTTTAGGGACCGCCTGTCATGCAGGCTAACGTCTCCCGGGTGATATGATTCGTGTAAACCACGCGCGACGATCACGCAAACAAGATGGCCGACAAAATAGACAAATGATAATATTGCGGCTTTACAGTCAACTCGGCCCACTAACCAACTCGGCCCACCGTTTAAGGAACAACTCCGGCCACTCGTAACCTGACTAATCTAACCACTAAACAAGCTAGGAGCCATACTGCGTTCTATCTTTGCAAATTTTGAGAGAGATTTGAATGATCAGTAATTTAGTATCAAAACGGACAGATCGAGAATTTGAAACTTCGATAGATTCTTTAATTCAATTAAGTCAGGTTGGATGTTGTCAAACTTTACTCATCTGTACGCACAATGTAACTGCAAATGGCTGTATTGGTTTGATGCTATCTTTTGTAAAATATTAGCTTTCCTAATATGTCAAACAGTAGTTAACAATTGGGCCAAGATGGTATGGGCCGAGTTGGTCACTGGGCCCGTGGGCCGAGTTGATCACTTCGGCCGTTTGGGCAATATTTCGCCGAATCCCCCTCGCTCCATGTCTATAAATGATAATTATTCTTGTTTTTATCTAAACTTCCTGAAAAATACTATTTTATATCAGGTAGTTCAGACAACAATCTGCATGGCGGCTAATTGTAATAACCCGTTTCATATATTACTTCAATCTTTTTGTAGAATAACGGTTATCCATTATTTTAGCCTATGCTCGCATCTCGCCCAGAAATGCGCTCAGACATTTGCCTGTTTTCAAATATCCTTCGTACGCCTCCAACCAAAATCTTCCTTTCATAACGACCTCATAAAGCGTAGACCGGTCCGTCCAACGACTTGTACGATAATGACAAATCTTCAAAAAATCATCACGGTAGCCCAGTGTATGTTTATCACCATCAACACCCCAGCGAGGCATTGGCTTCGGAGACGAACGTACTACCTAAAATTTAAATCAGTTTCATCTATGATTTAGTATGATTGATATGATAACAACATAACTTAAATACAATGCTAATCTTTTAAATTTTTGACCCAAAATATTGGGGAGCAGGACCGCGAGACGGGCCAGGGCTGAAGCCTTATTTTTGACAGCCAAATTATTAAACAGTCTAAATGAAACCTCTAAAATTAATTAAAATCACCCCTTTAGCCCCCCCAATTTCTAATATACCTGGCCCTGGAGAGAGGGGGCACACACATATAGCTGTGGCCTTGAATCCCAAGCCCCATCGGTTCTAACGCCAACCCTAAACGTGACCTAATTTCAATGAAATAACAGATATGAAAATATTACCAACAGATGTGAGAAGATAATGTTAATCATATTATAGCAACAGGTTAATCTTGTATTTGGATCAGGCAAATAGAATTGAAACCTATACTGGTTTCATTTATCAAATGTCAACAATCAACATTAGCCCGCAACCCACCAATATAATAGTAAATCTAACGGTAAAATCATCCTCACCATATCTGGAACAGAATTTGGGAAGTCAGAACTGCTCTCTTCTTCAGATTTCAGATAGATTCTCAGGCAATATTTGTTGCCATTGTTGGTGTTAAGCAAGACTTCGACTTTCGTGTCGCCTGTTGGTTCTATCCACGTCACTCGGCCTGGAAAGAAACGCTCTAAAATTCGTTTCTCTGTTGCAAGACGGTTTCTTTGAGCCGGTGTCCAAGGCATGATCGATTATAAAACTAAAAGCTGGATGTTTCTTAACAGCTTAAAGCAATCAAGCAGCAGATATTGAAAACAAGGTAATAGAATTCGAGGAAAACCATGGGTGGTCTAATACAAAATTAGGAACAAGCAGTTTATATCGAAATTAAAGTGAAACTAACTCTAGATCTGTTTTATATAACAAATAGCTCTATAACTTCTAAACTGTTCTCCCTACACCAAGAGATCCAGTAAAGAACATTCTCTATTGTTCCAGTTTTACTAAGGAGGAAACCTAAACTAACTTTGTTTAATTAAACTGGATAACACAAACTGTTTGTACTGTGATTCAGTAACTGATTTCTAGGAAAAAAGTTGCTAGGAAAGCATAGGTGATTTAAATATTTATCAAGTGGCTTAACTTAATAAGTATGCAATTTTATATTTACTAATTGAAATGAAATCAAAGAATGTTATTAAATAATTTAAATTCGTTCAATCATGAAACGAAAACTAAATAGCAACGACAGACTGTATTAAGCTTTTATGACTATTAAATCTTTTGAATCCATATTAACTGGCTAGCTGCTCACGTCCAGAAATCGATCATGTCAGATCACGGATCAAACCTTTAACCTTATGAGAGTTACCATGTTCATCAAACAATAACCGACACTAGTTCTATTTTATTCCTGTAAATCTTGCCTCAAAACTCAAGTTTATTTTTTAGGAGAAATAAAACGCTTTTCTGTGTAAAATCTGTTTCAAACACTTGTGAGAGCTCACAGAGTTACAAAAAACACTTGCAATAAAAGTGCTTAATTTATTAATGATACGGCTCCTCACTCCTGCGCAGGCATACTCTCACAACCATATACATTCATTGTTTCGACGTCGGGTTTGTGTTGGTCGAAGTCGTAAACATTCTGTAGTCTCCGTGACATCGTAGACGGCAATTCGTTCCCTATATATTGCCCTTGGCAAACTGATCTTTGGTTTTGTATTTGTAAACGTATCTACATGGCTTCTGGAAACCGCGGAGATGTCGTGGAAGGCATACCGATTATTGATAGCGACGGCCAACGGAGAACGTTTCTGAACATAGCCAATGGGAAGATTGAAGATATGCCTGCATCGCAAAAGATGGTATTTGATACGCAATCTGGAAAGTTAATGGTTGTTGTGTCGGAGAATAAAAGTATTAAACTGGACAGTCGCGTTTTTAGCGAATTTGACAAGGATGGATTTTTTGTTTGTGACTTTATGGGCCGAATCCTCAATTGCCACGACAGAACTTGTTTCACAACAACGCCAGAGGTAAGAGAGTTTGTATGTTTTAATCATATAATGCATAGCTAGTTTATTGACCTTTATTCCACTGGCAATTAATACAATTGACGGATTCAGTTTAATTTACTCGCTCTTCAGATTTGTCAACTGCTAACTCTGAAGTTGACTACCATCTGCTGTCCTGTTGCGCTTACATATATATACACGTAACTCTTCTTTCTATATGGATCGTGTATGAATTTTATATTAACTCATTCAGTATTTTATTCTGTCTAACGCTTAATGATTTTTGTACTGATTAACAGGTAAAACTAGTTGCTGTAAATTTTCAGTAAAGTTGTAGCATATGATATGATATTGTATTTTAGGACGACATGATGTGATGTGAAAATGCAAGTGGTTTCACGGATGCGAATTCCTGGAAACTGAACGCCAACAAACTGCAACAGTACAATAGTTCATAACCGTGTAATTTAAATAGATTATAAGTATGGGTCTTAATCTATATAAATTAAAATTTTATTGATCGTATTGCATGGATCAAAATAAATTAAAATTGTATTAATTGTTTCAAGCTAATTCAGCTACTAGAAACATATAATATGTTCTCTGTAATATATTCTTAAGTATACATGTTATCATATGAGGAGCGAGGCGATATCTGTTTCATCGCTTGAGGGACGATATCATAAATGTCACGAGTGGGCGCACGAACAAGGGACATTTGTGATAACGTACTGAAATTATATACTTGTGCCTTTATCAGAGTCAGAATTTATCAGGCAAATATGGCAGGACAAAAAGCACTATCAGTGTCGAGTGACAAAACGTGATTTCGGTGACAAAAACTGAAAAAGATCAATAACATACAGTCACCCTGTATTTTTAAAGTTTAGACATTGGCAATGCTTTAAGTTTAGCTTCTTTATACTGCAGTTATATGAATCATTGAATCAGTGGGTTTCCCTATGTACCTATAAAAATAGGTACGCACTGTGTACATGTTGAAAGCCATTAGTCAGTCCTTGTATTGCAGGTGCACGAGGTTACACAATTAACTAAGTGTTGGTGTTTGTTGCCTATAGCGGTTTGCATGCTCTTTTCACCTCTGTGACCAAAGTTTGCTTCTGCAACATGATAATGGAGGGGGGGGGGGGGGGGGCAAGAATTGAGATCCAAAATTTCTAGGGCTCGAAAACACCATTTCCCATATTCTGATTCGAGTTTTTAAAAGTAATTGGAAGGTCATAAATGACAAAATTCTGTTATTATTACATTGGAACAAGGCACAATACACACGAAAATGTATTTAAATTAGATTTATTGATTATATTCATTATCAACTGAAACATTTCATAAACTATTCACCTATTGTCATCATCATACATTTGCTAACTAAATTTAAACTAAATCCAATTTTCTGGGAGCAATATTTACAAATGTTTGTACAAGGTTTTCTAGAATTGATCAACCTCGTCCCCAGGGCCTTCTCAGAAGGAAGGCCCTGGAAACGAGGTTAAGAATTAATTACTATTGACACATTGCTTACCTCACCTGCCCCCTCCCCCAAATATTTGATTCATTTACGAAACCGTACACTCAGTTACATGTGTGTTATAACAAAATGTTGTTCACTCCTATACAAGCGCCTTTTTTAACAAAGTTTTGAGAAGTTAACATTATTAAACATTATTAAACTCAGGGACGCCGGAACTGGGGGGCAGGAGGGGCAGCTGTCCCTCTTGCCTTTTGCTAGGGGGGGAGCAAGGGGGCAGAAGTGCCCTATGAGTTGTAAAATACTACCTGATAAATCACATTTCCAATGATGCTTTTTCGGGCAAAATCATGAGATTCAGGTAATTTATAGGCCCAAAGAAAGTTAATTTACAAAAATAAGTGTGAATTTGTTAAAGAATGAGTTTAATTTACAAAAATTTTAGAAAATTTTTGGATTTTCAATAAAAATTTTGGATAAATGGAGAAAATTGTTGATGTCCGGAAAATTTTTTTACGTAACGAAAAATTTTGGTATGTCCGGAAAAAATTTTTGACCCCTAAAATGGTACTGACTTAACCGAAAGTTTTTGGCGACGCGGGGAGGGGGGGTGGGTGGGGGGAGTTTGCCCTTTTGATCTATAGAGGTGCCCTTTGGTGTGCGTCTGCCCCCCCCCCCTTTGCCTTTTTTTCGTTCCGGCGTCCCTGATTAAACTGTCTGTGCCAGTGTAGGTATAGTGCCAATAATATTAAACAAGCTTTCGTTGGTAGGCAACTACCTAAAGAGTAAAGACCGTTTTCCACTAGGCGGAATTTAAATTCGCTCCGCGCGGAAAATTCCGCCTTGTGGAAAACGGAGGCCCTTCGTCTAGAGTTACTAGCCAATTCTGGAGTTACTATAGCTAGTAATTTATAACGATTGAAAAAAATCACTATCTGGCCCTCGCATACAACCTGCCTCAGAATGTTTATTCCACACGATGAATATAGTATACATAGGGGCGCTTCCATTAACACGGCCAGACCGGTCAGAACGGTCAAATTGTTGAATGGAACACAAACCATTTGGGCTTCGGACCTATTTGACCAGAATATTTAGATAACATTAGAATGACGTCCATTTTCGCTATAAATCAGGGGCGTAGGAAGCACCTGGAGTTTGGGGGGGCACCGGCTTGTAGGGGCACATTACTATCGGAAAGGGCACCTAAAAAATTTTAGGTGGGGGGGGGGAGAAATTTCTCCTGAGGAAAATTTTCCGTCGTATCATACCGAAATTTATGTTTGTGACCTAATTTTTAAAAAAAAATTGTAAATTTCCACACAAAAACGGCACCTATTGTTTTAATTTAGTATTTACAGCGACATTAGCTTCTACAAAAGGGGCACTTTTCCTCACAAAAAAGGGCACTTTTCAACACAAAAAGGGCACTTTTTATCACAAAAAAGGGCACTTTTAGTCCTTTAAAAAAATTTTGGGGGGCACGTGCCCCCCGTGCCCCCCCCGCTTCCTACGCCCCTGCTATAAATATTTGATAAACATGGACCAGATCGTTCCATTGAAACAGAGAAAAGAATTCGGGTCTGACCGGTCAGGCCATTAAATGGAAAGTGCCCATAGAGTCTAGTCTTCCCAGAAAAAATTGAGAACACTTCAATCGATATTTCGCTGTATGAACCAAGATATATGAGTCATTCTCGCATCTCGCCCAGAAATGTGCTCAGACATTTGCCTGTCATCAAATATCCTTCGTACGCTTCCAACCAAAATCTTCCTTTCATCACGACCTCGTAAAGCGTGGAGCGGTCCGTCCAACGAGTTGAACGATAGTGACAAATCTTCAAAAAATCATCACGGTAACCCAGTGTATGTTTATTAGGATCAACATCCCAGCGAGGCATTGGCTTCGGAGACGAGCGTACTACCTATATACAGTATCAAAAAATTACAGTTGATGCATATCTGTTCAGACGTAGAATCATGTATGACTTTTAGTGTGAGCATGGCCCAGAGATCTACGTACTTTGCCGACAATTATCATCGATTTCTTTCATATATCATAGCTTAGAAGCCGTATTTTACTTATTGTGTAAAGAAAGTGTTGACAGAGTAGAATGAGGGTCATCAGCTCAACGATATAACAATGATGTACCGAGACTGTCTCCTTGGATCTCTCCTTGAATTATCCTGATTACAAGAGACACACCGCACTTGACAAACATAATTTACATTGAACCTATATAATATTGTACGCTTCAGAGAATTTCCTATATAAACTAGGATAGAAGACCACCCAGGGTACCTATATTGCTATTTTGTATAATAATGCTCAGCGTTTTGTGAAAATATTGATTGTGTTTATTTACAGTAGTGAATAGCCTATGCCTTGCATGTAAGAGAATTCCGGATTGCGAGACATCCAACAACCTGAAAAATACTAGCATGTGAGTTGTCACAACGTGTCAATGCCAATGGGGAAATATCTGCTGCATTGCAATGCTCAACTGAAATCCAATAAAATCCAATAAACTACAGTATAGAATTGTTAAATTCTGCATCCTCACCATGTCTGGAACAGAATTTGGGAAGTCAGAACTGTTCTCTCCATCGGATTTCAGATAGATTCTGAGGCAGTATTTGTTGCCATTGTTGGTGTTGAGCGAGACTTCGATTTTCGTGTCGCCTGTTGGTTCTATCCACGTCACTCGGCCTGGAAAGAAATGCTCTAAAATTCCCTTCTCAGTCGCAAGACGGCTGCGCTGGGCCGGTGTCCAAGGCATGACAATTTCTTTCTAGCCAAAAAAACTATATATGAACTCATAGACTGTATCAACAAACATCTGGGAGCGGAAGTGTTTATTTTCACTTTCAAAATCTGGCATTCTAGGTAAAGGGGATTCCAGGAAACTGCAGGAGGTCGACGAATTTAATGACTAAAATAAATATTTCGTGGACGAAGACAAGGCTAAAACTTCGCAGTTCTTACTGCGCCTTTGAGCAAAGGATATTGCTAACACTGAAGTCACTGGAGACTGGAGTGAAAATTAATCCGTCATGGCATCTCAGCGCCGCATGTTGGACTTTTTCAGTAGCGGCAGACAGTCACAGCAAGCAAGGCGAACTAGCGAAGATACCAAGAGCGAACCGAAAAATTTGAAGGAATGTATGCCCATATACGACAACGATGGAAATCTTATGCATGTGCTGAATACAAAAACGGGTAAATTGGAAGAACCCGCACCAAGAGAGAAACTCGCGTTCGATCCTGAAACAGGAAAGCTGGGATTGATAAAAGTTCAAGAGGGAATCAATACTGATTATCAAATTCAACTGGGTATGGCTGAGGATGGATTTTTTGTGTTCAAAGTCTTGCCATCGTTTTCAGCCGCAGTGTTGTACTGTATATAAAAGAAATCGAGGGAAAGTAAAAATTATGGAGCATTAATTCTAATAATATAATTAGAATATAAACTATATTATATTACGTTATTGGCATTGGCAGCCTCAAGGCAAGGATCTGGTTTCTGAGTTGCCGAATGGTAGCCGATGTTGATGAAACAACCAAGACAGTAACGACAGTAACGAACGAGATGTATAAATGAACTGTCAGTTTCCACCATTTTACGTGATATACTAGACCTATCATAAAGTAATAGTAGCATAGTAATATCTAGGTAGATGTAGTGTATTAAGTACATTTGTCGGTTCAGGTATTATACATTTCAGTAAATATATGTTTATGCATGTATTTTAGACTTTGACGATATAGGTAGGCGTCACTATTTCTTCGTTGAGCTGCAGGTGATAGTGGTAAACTTGCATTTGGGCAGACTTAAAAATATATCTCTTGAGTACATCTTGGGTACAGACTATAACTTGGGCACTTAAATTAACTGCCTCTCAACGGGTAGATGGTTCGCAGTCATTGCAATACTTAAAAGCGACAGCGAAGATATACAGGGCCTGGCATTCTCGTACCCATGATGCGACTATTGATATGTATCAGTCAGTGGTATCAGGTATCAATGGATGCGATCATGCGATGTCATCACAGACGTCATCCCCGTCCTTAGGCCCACAATTAGCAGGGCTCTCGCAAGCTTGATCCTGGGGACGAGGATGAGCGCTGCCTTTCGCTGCCATGCCATTCTCGTACCCAGAGCCCTTCTTAAGCGCGTTCGACCGAGCGCGACGAGGGGCTCTGGCCAAATCCATATTAACCGGATACCATGAAAACATGGTAAGAAAACAATATCCGGTGTTAGAACTAGCCAGTTCGGATATGGATTTGGCCAGAGCCCCTCGTCGCACGGCGCGTAAGAAGGGCTCTGGTTACGAGAATGCTGCCTTGGGTATCGCACTCGTTCCCAGGGCTGCTCGGTTTACAGCTAAAAATCATTAATAATTTAAAGCATAAATTGATTTCGCGGAAGGCTATTGTTTCATAAAGAATTAATGAATAAAAAACTTGTATAGCTGTGGTATTACTGACACTCACTATCATCAGCCTTGTAGTTCTAGCTCATTTCCTTCATATAATTAAAAATGAATTCTGTTTACATAACGAAGAAAAAGAAGAAATTAATATTGTTCACAGTTTTTACAATAAATTCGTCCCCAGCCGGGCAAAAATGGCCCTGGGATCGGCTGGTCACATGAACACCCAGAATTTCTGGGTGTTTTGATAGGATAATGTTGTTTTGAATAAATTATACTGCAAAAGGGCCATTTCTGCCGACCTTCAGCTGCAGACTAGTCCCAAGTCCTCTGTGGACGCTCGCCTCATTAATATGCAGAAACGCGCAATAGGCGAACTAAGAGGCCCAGGGACTAGGCTGCTTCAGCTGTGGAGGAAAAATGGCCTGGGGACGAGGTTGTTTTTGCAGGTATATGAATTAAGAAAATTACACTTGTTCTCGAAGTATTAAAGGAAAATCACACTTGTGTTTATAGCAAAGTATTGATAATACCGCTGGTGCTACGTACTCCGCCGTATTATGAATATTTCGTCAAACACTCGTGCGATTTTAATTTTCATTAATACTTCGAGAACCATGCAATTTCCTATACCAATATATGAGCTGCCGTACTTGCATGGTGTGTGTCTGTCTAATCGTCCCACTGAGAAAAATTGATAACACTTATTGCGGCTCATTGTAAAAGTCCATTCCAGTTATTTCCAGCGAATCATTCTCTCATCTCGCCGAGAAATGTGCTCAGACATTTGCCTGTCATCAAATGTCCTTCGTACGCTTCCAACCAAAATCTTCCTTTCATCACGACCTCGTAAAGCGTGGAACGGTCCGTCCAACGCGTTGTACGATAATGACAAATCTTCAAAAAATCATCGCGGTAGCCCAATGTATGTTTATTAGCATCAACACCCCAGCGAGGCATTGGCTTTGGAGATGAGCGTACTACCTACATAAAATATATACTGTTGATGTGTGTTTGTTCAGACGTAGAACTACATGATACTATAAGGCCCGGTTTTAGACGGCAAACTTTTCATGCGCCGAACCTATTTACCTAAAGGCCCTGTCACACTATTGCGTATGAGAAAAACGTATGAGAAGCGTATGAAAATTAATGAAATAATTTTCATACGCACAAAAATCCTTTGAAATGTCAGCGTATGAGCTAGTACCGTTCATCCGGTGTACTTCTAGTGTATTCAGCGTGTGCCTAGAGTATGCTTATCGTTTAAAGCATACGTCCGATACGCACAAAATTTTTGAGCATGTTTAAATTTTTTTTTTGCTTCGCCGTATGCCAACGTATGCCAGCGTATGCGACCGTGCTTGAAACGTATACAACCTATGCCTAACGTAACGTACCCCTAGCGTATGTCAGCGTTTTCCAGCGTTGCATGAGTGATATTTTTCATACGCTGACATACGCTTGCATGTACGATACGCACTGAGTGTGACAGGGCCTTAAAATCAAATTAAATACGCCACAAGTTCGGCGACCGCCGATTTAGATGTCGGAAAAATTTCAGTGCTAATTAAATTGCTAATATATCATAATCATATATGATAATATACGTTAAAAAATTATGCATTCAGTAGAAGTGAATAGCTGCTATGCCTTGTAGCATGTAAAATAACTGTGCCGAGAGATGCATGCAACTACCTGAAAAAAACACAAGCAGAACTTCTAGCACATTGCAACTGCTCCCCAATGTTCACTACCATAACACTGATTGTTAAATTCTACATCCTCACCATGTCAGGAACAGAATTTGGGAAATCAGAACTGTTCTCTCCAATGGATTTCAGATAGATTCTCAGGCAGTATTTGTTGCCATTGTTGGTGTTGAGAAAAACTTCGATTTTCGTGTCGCCTTTTGGATCTATCCATGTCACTCGACCGGGAAAAAAATGCTCTAAAATTCGCTTCTCCGTCACAAGACAATTACGCTGGGCCGGTGTCCAAGGCATGACGATTTCTTTCCAGCAAAAAAGACTGTAGCTATAGGAACACATAAACTGGATCAACAAGCATGCATCCAGGAACGGAATGTTTACTTTCACTTTCAAAATCTAGGTAAAGTAGATCCCAGGAAATAGATAGCCATAGCGACAGGTGTGCTATGCAAATACTTAACGATTTGCAAGAAATGATGTATTTTTAAACTATGCAGGTTATTAGAGCAGTTGCCATGGCTAAAATAAATATTTTTTAGGCGAAAACAGTTTTCTAGTGTTAACTTCTCATGCGCCTTTACAGTAAGTTTAAACAAGGATATTGCTCACACTGAAGTCACTGAAGCCAGTGAAGGAAAAATTAATCCATCATGGCATCTCAGCACCGCGGCATTTTCAGCAGCGGAAGACAGCCACAGCAAACTAGGCCGCAAACAAGCGAAGATACCAAAAGCGAACCGAAAAATTTCAAAGAATGTATGCCTATATACGACAACTATGGGAATCTTCTGCATGTGCTGAATACAAAAACGGGTAAATTGGAAGAACCCGCACAAAGAGAGAAACTCGCGTTCGATCCTGCAACAGGAAAGCTGGGATTGGTAAAAGTACAAGCTGGAATCGATCCTGATTATCAGATACAACTGGGTATGGCTGAGGATGGATTTTTTATGTTCGAAGTTCAAGTATTGCCATCGTTTTCAGCACCAGTGTTCTACATAACAGAAAGTAAAGAATGGGAATAAAAGATATACAACCGATAACTCTTCCAAGATATCATGACCATTAATGATGGTCATGGACTTTACATGTAATCACCAATGCACGCAACTATACTTAAGCCGCACATGTAGGCTGCAACGCGTTTTAAAGAATTAAACTATCTATCTCCATTTATATCCAGTATCTAACACTATAGATACGGCAAGGTAATCGAACGGTAATAGTCCACGTAGTGGCCTATGTTTATTTAAATATATTAGTAGTATAGCTATATGCATGATAAATATATTAGTAGTATAGCTATATGCATGATAAGATAAAAGGGTTGGTTATTTCATATAACCAAAATAAACCATGGTGTCAAAAGTGGTAATTTGATATAACCAAAATAAATCATTTCGGCAAAAATTGGTTATTTGATATAACCAGATTGAATCATCCTTAGAAAAAGTGATTATTTTAATTAACAAAATCATCTAAAAATGCGACATATAAAACGTTTAAATAATAAAAACAAATATTTGGCGCCCCATTGTACTAGTCTTGGAGTCGAGGCCGAGTTCAAAAGTCGAAACAGGTGAAAGGTATAGAAATCAACTTCTAAAAAGAGAATCATAACAGACCTTGGTCGGTAAGTACCAAGCTATATGTATGAACACGTTTTGTGATTGTTTCTGAAACAATAATAATCGGAGGGTACATTGGTATCGAAGGAACTAGATTCTGTTCCGAAATATCACATACTCGTACCGATCTGACCGCGTAGCTCAGTTGGCAGAGCATTGGATTTGGGCTAGTATTCCAAAGGTCGTAGGTTCGTTTCCCACCGTGGCCGGGCATATTTTTCAAGCTCGCTCGGTGTGGATATACTGACTCAGAGTAACATCACAAACATCATATTCACCTGAGTACACAACACCAACACAGAAAAAATGATGTAATTTGAAAAAATAATGATGAAAAAATAATGAAGATTTTACATTTTTTCAGTGTCCGACACTGGTAGTTTTCGATGCAAAGACTTTCGTGATATCATGCGGGTAACTGAGATCTCCAATTAAAGATTTGAAATATGAGCGTATCCAGGGACGCCGGAACGATGTGAAGGCAAGGGGGGGCAGATTTTCGTGAAAGGGTACTTTTGAATTGATATATACTAAGAGATGTTTGCAAAACATCGGGAGTTGAACTTCGCCTATAATCATGTTTTCTATTTATTGGATGATAGGGGTGTGAGGGGGTCCTCCGCTAGGCGATTGTGCTATTCTTGAAGCTCGATGACTGCATTTCTTGCGTTTTCTGAAGCAAATTCGTAAAAGAATTGCACTAACATTTCTGACAATTCGCTATTTCGCCAAGGCAATCCTTTAAATTGAAAGGGCACCTTTGCCCCCCTTGCCCCTCCTGGTAAAGGGCAACAGGGGCGGCTGCCCCTCCTACCCCCCAGTTCCGGCGTCCCTGAGCGTATCGGCTGATTTTGATATGGTTTAACAGTTCAAGTGTTATTGTTTATCATGTAACAATTGTCATAATCATCCAATCACAAAGCCTGTTCATGTGATGTAGCAACCGGCCCCACACTGGTTTGTTCAGCGTCGCACTGGAGTGGAAACAGAAACTAAAGTTGGACAAAGCAGTGCGTTGACTCGTTATATATATTCTTCGCTCTTGTATATTACAAGTTCAACTAAACTAAACATGAGCCGACGAAATACTACTACATCTACATCTGACGCCAACGTTGTCCAAGAAGGGCTACATTTAACTGGAAAGGATGGAACCCTGGTTAAAGGATTCAATCCTCGAAATGGAAAATGGGGAGAACCAGCTAGACAAGGGATGGCGTTCGATCCAAATACTGGGAAACTGGTGGTGACGACAGAGAATCCTGATAATTTCATTGCAATACCTATGGCTGCTGAAGGCTTTTTCATGGAATTAACAATGTCAATATGACAACATATATTATATAAGTACTTCGAATCATTGCAAGATCTACAAGTATACCATTTCACCGAATTGAAGCTCAGACACGACTTTGATTGAAAATCAAATGAGATCATGAGTTTAAGTCTGTTTGTTGTTATGGAACTGATACTGTTATGTAATTTTATAGGCCAGTGTAATCGAGGTAACTAATGTTTTCCGAGTAGCGGTTTGCTGTCAATTCATCAGAATTTATCATGGTTAATTAAAAACGAGCTAGTAGTAGTAACATTAAAAGTACACATATGGACTATATAGTTAGTATTTTACTGTAGCATTTTGTAAATATATATTGGAAACTAATTAAGGGTTGGTAACTGAACCTCGGCAACTTTATTAAGTGTAAAATTACCTACTATAAAATTCGCACGTTAAATATTGTGTATTTTGAGTACGTATTTTGTATTTGGTAGACTATAGAAGCGCTTCCCAGAACTCATTTATGCTGTGTGCCAAAGGAACCGGCAAGTTGATATAATCTTCGGCTATATAGTATAAGTGTCCTTTAAAATATTAGGCCTACTGCAAAAGGCAGTTTTCAAAGGTTGGGCAGTGCCAGTGGTATGAAAATTTCTAACATAGCAAGGCATATCGATTAAACACAGTTCGTTGCCGGAATTTTACTGATCAACATTGCGTAATTAGTAATGCACACTTTCAGTTTGGATTCTGGGAAAACAATGAACAAACGTTATCCAAATTAAATAGAACCACAGTTAATAGAAGTAGGCCTATACTTCTATTAACTGTGATAGAACGAATAGGCAAACTTGTTCCAGAGTTGTTGCAATTATTATAGCAAAATATGCCTTGGAGTCAAGCTCAAAGGAAAAGACTGGCGGCAGAGAAAAGCGTACTAGATCGTTATTTCCCTGGATGTGTGAAATGGATCGATCCTACCGGCGATACGAAAGTAGAAGTCGCGCTGAAAACAAACAACGATAACGAATACACTTTGAGAATCTACATTGGAAATTTTCCTAATTCAATTCCTGATATGGTTGTGGTTTCTTCACCGAAGCCGATGCCTGATTGGGGAAGTAGTTCCGTCACTCATACTCTGTCGAAACGTGATGGGTATTTACAAATTTGTCATTACCACAGCAGTCAGTGGACGGATCGCTCCTCGCTGTATGAAGTCGTGATGAAGGGACGTGTCTGGCTTGAAGCTTACGAAGGTCACCTCAGAACTACACAACCGATGAGTTACTTTCTTCGGGAAATGGCATCAACGCGAGAAATGGAAGCACAACAGTGCGTGATTCTTTAAATGCTACAGAATTACGAAAAAAATTATTAGAAACTGATTAGCCACTGGAAGCTATTTATTTTACTGAAATCAGTTGGCGCTAAATTGTTGACAGAATTGTTAAATACGAAACTAGTAGAATCTATACGCCATAAAAGGCTGTTAATTCTTAATTTTGTCTTAAAATTTTGAAAGCTCTACTACGTACGGATTTCATAATTATATAAATATGTGTAAATAGATCCATTTCCGACAAATTAATATTAATGAATAATCACTATACTATACTATATTACCGAATAATAGTATTTACAGTACGTAATATAGAATAAGCCTTTATAGCTTTATATTTACATATATTTAAACTACACAACTGAGTGTCTGATCAACATTCATGAGGGTCCTGAAAGGGTAAAAGGGGAACTGCATGGGATTTGCTTATTTTTGGGTGGGAAAATGGGATTTCATGCACTGGGACTGGGATTCATCAGCAAAAAAACAATAGAAAATGGGAATGGGATTAAGATTTGAACAGAACAGCCACTGAGATGATGGGATTTGTGCTCTGGGACAATGGGATTTAGTCAAAATTTGGACTGGGAAATGGGAATACAACCCCCCCCCCCCCT